GGGGGGGAATTATCTCCCACTCACAGAATAAACATCTGAAGAACCCTAAAACCCCACCAGATTCTATCTTTTCTCATGCCCCTGCCTTATCTGCTCCAAAGGAAGGCTGAGTGAAAAAACCTAGAGCCATACTTCTAGAAAATTAAACTTTAAAGAAGTCTGAGACAGTTTTGTTTCCACTGTCTCCTTTGCCACTCTGCAGCAAGTGCCTGGAAGTTCACAATATCCTTTAACAATTGGCACAATATTCTGCAGGTTAGCTACATCTTCAAAGATGACTGTGATGCTAGCTTGGGGAGGCTGGGGTGTAAACAGGTGAAACCAATGAATTACTACAGGGGGAAACATCAAGACACCAGAACCACAGGGTAAGTAACCCAGCTTTTCCCAATTACTTCAAGCACAGAACCCATCTCTTGCTTCTGAGCTAGTGTTGGCTTTAAAGCCCAAACGGATTATCCTTTGGGATGTCAAGAACTACCTTAATGTCTAGGGAGAACAGAGAAAACTGGCAATCTGGGGAGATATCTTCTTCAACAAAATCCTCTCCTTACCTACTGCAAAAAAATTTTAAATTCAAGATTTGAGGACCAACAAGATGGCTCCCCAAGTAATGGCACTATTTGCTGTCAAGCCTGACAAACTGAATTCAACCTTTGGAACTGACATGGTGGAAGGAAAAAGTCTCCAGAACCTTGTCTGATAACCACACACATGCTCAAAAACCACACACATACTCACACTAAATAAATGTTTAAACATTTTAAGACTTCAGTGTGTCTAGTGGGACAGACCCAGCTTTTGTGGAAGAAGCAAGGATACCCCAAATTCAAGACCAACTCAGGTAACTTGAAACCCTGTCGCAAAAAGCAAAATGAGTGGCTGAGAGATGACTCTGATTACAAGTATTTAATGCTATTCTATTGCCAAGTACGTTCCCAGTATGTACACAGTACCCCATAAACACCACTAACTTCAGTTCCAGGGACTCTGATTTATCTGGTGCCCTAGATATGTGCATGTGGTACACATATTCAGGCAGGTTCACAACAGTACACATTAAAATGGAAAAAAATAATCTTGCAGAGCGTGGTGCCACATGCTTAAACCGAGCACTGGGGAGGCAGAAGCTGGCAAATCAAGGAGTTCAAGGCCAGCCTGGTCTATGTCACACAGAGAAACAATCTTGAAAAATAAAAAAAAAAATAAAAAAAATCTTAAAACAAAAATGGCTGGAAATATCTTTAATTTTAGCACTTGGGAAGCAGAGGGAGCTGGATCTCTTGAGTTCGAGGCCAGCCTGGTACAGAGAGCAAGTTCCAGGACAGCCAGAGCTACACAGAGAAACCCTGTCTCCATAAAACAAAACAAACAAAAAACTTGCCTAGCATGCATGAAGCCCTTGGCTCAATTCCCTGTATTGCGTATGAGGTACATGGTACCTGTAATTCCAGCACTTGGTAAGTAGAAGGATCAAAATCTCAAGGTCATCTACAGCTGTAAGTTTAAAGCTGGTCTGGGCTACAGGAGACTTTGTCTCAAAAATACAAATACTTTTAAAACTGAAGTGGATGCAGCCTATGCTTATAGCCCCAGGCCTTAGGAAGAATTCAGCTCAGAAGTTCATGACCTAAATAAGTAACAAAGTTGAGACTACACATAAAAAACAAAGAAATTCAAAGTTTCTAATTACTTCAGAAAGAAGCTCAAATTGGAGATTTCAAGAATAAGATATGGAAGAAGATGGTTCCATACCTTTGAAAGCTGCAGCAGGCATACTGCATACCCTCACAGGGTGGAAAGGGCTCCTGCTGTTTGAGTATTTAGTGGCTTCATGCTTTCTTTCCTACAAGTGATCAACCATTTGCTTTCAGAGTACAATGTAGGAAATTCTACAAATAACTTACATAGGTTAAAATCAAGCAATGAAACACTAATCAAAGACTGTTAAGCTGCTATATTAGTACCAATGTATTCAAGGTTGAGGTAATGGGGACCAAATCCAGGGCTTTGTGCATCCTACACAAGCACCCTATCTGAGCTACACCCCCGACCTATTAATATAGATTTGTATCTGATAAGAGGTAAAACTCTATGAATAATTCAAAGATGAAAAGTGATCCCTAGCTACTAGTCAAAATTTCTAACTTTGCCTAAATTACCTAAAAAGCAGTCATTGAGAAGGCAAGCTAGGTGGTGACTGGATTACAGTCTCTGAGGTCAACAGCTTTAAAGGTTTTCAAAAGTTGTGCTTTCCCATTTACACTGAATAAGGTAAAACATAGCAACAAAGAATTGGTCCAAAAACTATCAAGAACAATGGTTTTGTGTAAGTAAGGGTATAATACTGAGAGAAAGGCTTTAAAAAAATTAGACAAGATCTCATATATTCCAGACTTTCGATCCATAAGCCCGTACTTCTAAAGTGTTGGGATAACTTATGCTCAGTCCAGACAGACTTATGAAAAGTTACAGAGAACACGAAGAAAGCCAGTTTTCACATAAGTGCATATATAATACAGGTGAACAGGAACCCGCACCAGGTATGCTGTGGGACAATGGTCTGTATGTACCCTGTCACTTGTATTTTAAATAAATGCTGGTCAAAACATATAGGCAGGGCAATGAGAATTCTGGGAAGAGGAAAGTTTCAGTCTGCAGTTGTTACCCAGACACAGAGGATGCAAAAAAGGTACCAAGCCGCGTGGCTAACACAGACAAGAATAAAGGGTTAATGTAAGATATAAGAATAACAAGCTTGAGCTAATGTAGACCTCTGTGTTATTTCTTTGGGACTGAATGACTGTGGGACCTGGCAGGACAGAAATCTCAAGTCAACAGGGGTATATTCCACAGCTCTAAAAGTCAGAGTAGTAGGGGTGAAAAGGAAGACAAAATACATCTATAATTCAGAAGAGCCAGTAACAGAAGAAAATTCTATTGAGACTGACTCACCTCCAGGAAGTGTTAAGGAGTCCTATACTGAGACAAATTAGAATTTCTCCTTAACTGCAGACAAGCGGCAACAGATAAGCATTCTGATTATAATTTAGAAATAACTTATTTCTCCTGGCAATCTAAAGCTCAAAATAATTGATTGAGGCAAACAGATGGCTCAGAAAGTAGGACTGGGTGAAGAAAAGAAATACTTCTAACGTTAAGTCAGTGCAAAAAGTCCCAGCCCTTGGTCATATTTTCCTTTTTACCATAACCTTCCTGTCTCATCATCACCATTATAGCCCTGCTAAATCCTTGTCCTAGACAAAGTAGAAGTTAGCAGGACAATGATCCCTTTGACTACTGGCCAGTAATAAGAGTGTGCAAATATCTGAAATGGTTTTACCAAGATATTGCTCTGAATTAACTGGATAAAACTGTCTAAACTCTTAATAAGACCCAAACAGAAACCCATAACTTTGACATGCCTTTGTAACCACTGCCTTACCAAAATAAAATAAACTTTTAGACACGAGAGAAATTTCCTGTGAGAATCCTGAGTGACATCTGTATTCTTACAGTGAGATGGGATTCATAAAACAAGTAGACCAAAAGTGTCTTCATATTCTAACCACATTCACTGGCCTAATATTGTCTGTGACCATCCAAACCTTTCACTTGGCACTTGCACAATAAGATGACAGCTTTTATTTAGCACAAAAATACTCAAAGCACTCTTTATAAAAATTACCCATACTATGACCTAATAAATGGTAATCAGCAAGCAGCTCTTTGAAATGAAAGGCAAATAAGAATGGGCTTTCAAGAGCTGTGCAACGGAACCCAAAGTAAGTAGCAGCGTTAATAATAAAAAATGGAAACAGCCAATGGCAGAGCAACTATTATGTACAAGGCAAGGGGCCCACTGAAACAGACAGACACACAGCACCCAAAAACTGAATTTCCATCTGCCTATAATAGTAATGATACATGGTGATTTCTGGTTAGAGTTCAATCCTAAATCTTTCTCAGCCGGGCCAATGGTGGCCCATGCCTTTAATCCCAGCACTCGGGAGGGAGAGGCAGGCAGATCTCTTTGAGTTCGAGGCCAGCCTGGTCTACAGAGTTAAGTTCCAGGTCAGGCCCCAAAGCTACAAAGAAACCCTGTCTCGAAAAACCAAAACCAAACAAAAAAAAATCTTTCTCTTACAACCAGTAATACAGCATTCCTGAAATGTCTGTAAGCTGCCAGCTGCTAACCAAGAGACTTTTAGCAGACAGGTTAAGATGGAGGAACAGTGACACTGAGAGATGAGACAGGGGAACAAGTTTAAAACCAAAAGCAGTGGACATTTATTCCTCATTTTTTTGTGCAAGAGTGTAAAGATGCATTTCAAAGAAGCTGATGACTAGAGAGCATCAGCCAGGGCCTTCAGGCTGGCCGGGTTTACAGTTAGGTTAGGAAAGGGGTGAGGGCAGGTAACTTGCCTAGTTCACACGTATGTTTCTGGGTAACAGTTGTTTACAAATTTCAAACTACATTTTACTAGAGTCAAGGGAAGACTTCAAAAAGCCACATACAGTACAATTTAAAACCAATGAACATCCTGCAAATGTTAGTGCAAAGTAATTATGTAGAGTCTCCAATACAAGATTGTGCTCATGTTTCCCAGGTTTGGTCAGTTATTCTTTTATGATTACAATCACAGAGGCTTAACTTATCAAACAGCAACACCTTTGTGTTCTATGTCCTATGTACCAAGAGACTATCACAAGGTTTTGGTGAAATGCTGCTCAGTTTCATAACAAAGCAAATTTATTTAGTTTAACAGTCATGTTCCTGGAATGGTGCACATAAGTTTCATGAAAATGCCTTTGAGCTTATGCCTCTATCGTATTGAATAAAATTACTCTCATATCTTTTTTTACTATGTAAACTGGAATTGTTTCATGATTTTGAAATGCAACAAATATAAATGAAAACATTTCAGGGATGAGGAAAAAATCCACCACTAATCTTAACTAGACAAACTTTTTAAATCAAAAAGCCTATTCACACAAAATTATATGTAATGACTGTAGTAATCAGTTTATTACACAGATTAATCATTCTTGAACGTACAAGCTCCAGAGGAGCAACTGGGTCTTTAAATATACACAAGTATTTCCATCAAATGAATTTTCACCCTTACATCGAAATAGGCCTAAAGCAGTTAAAAACATAAGAAAAATAAGAGCTATTAGCTATGTATTAACTGAGAAACCACATACAAACCAAAGATTATGGAAAGGGGCTAAAAGGAAGAAGGCTGAAAGGGCAGGGAGATGTGAAAGTGTTGGGAACAAAGTCCACCACACTTTATGTACTAACAGCTCCAGTCCATTTAAATGTTGATCAGTCAAAATCAGACCTTAAATACAGCGTGTAGGCAGAGTCTAATCTGTTTGGTCATAACATTCACCTAAGTTGTAGGTCCTTCAGGGTGAAATGAATACAGAAACAGCTTCATGTTCTTCACCGTGCTTTTTATGACTGTTTGAGATTAGATGGGTTCCACTTAAAAACAATCTCCTATGGGTCACTGGAGCTTTTTTCCTCCCATCAAGCAAACACTGTGTACCCACTACCCCTCACATCTTGCCATTATCCAAATTTAGGTCAATAAGAAAAGCTTTTAGTCTCACACCTAGGTTATGCCCGGAGAACTGGCTTCTCACACACACACTTCTCTGCTAGGAGGCAATGTTGGTACAGAAGTACAGTATTTCTAGTTTGTTGTTCCAAGTATGTACAACACGCAGCACTGCTGTGTCAGGTAAACATGTGCACAGGGGAAGATGAGGCGTGGGCTCATAGAAAGCAGTCAAATGGAAATCAAAAGGACTTTCTCTTTCAGAGTTCCCCTAGCTTTATTTGTAGAGGTTATCCAATAATTTCTTTAATTACATCGCATACTTCTGAGTCCATTCCCGAGCTATTCTGTTGTACCTGTACACACACAAAGAGAACTTGGCTTAAGAGAGGTAAGGAGTCAATGAGCAACACATTTCATTCATTATCCCAATTAGTAATTTTAGGGCAATAACTGAAAACACTAAAGCAAAATCATCTTTTCCCCTCCAATTTCTTTCACACATACTCCCCTTACTCTCTCAGTCCCACCCCCCTATCTGAGCTAGGGTCTCACTTCAGAGCCATGGCTGGCCTTGGACTATCTAAAACTAGGATGTATGGCCTCAAACCTGAGGCAATCCTCCTGGGTGCTGCCATTACAGAGATGTACCATGACCTAGCTTTACCTCTAATTACAAATAAACCTGTATTCATAATACAGTGAGACACTGCTGTAAAAACCAAAACGATTTCCTATAAATGCAGTATCTAAAGAACTCAAGTCAAGTTTAGAATTTGCTGATACCTTTTTCTTTTTTTCTTTAAATTCCCGAGACAGGGACTCACTGTTTAACAGCCTTGGCTGTCCTGGATCTCAATTTGTAGATTTGTAGACCAGGTTGGGGAACTCAAGAGATCTGACTGCCTTCGCTCCTGAGTGCTGGAATTAAAGTCATCTGGCTTCCACCCTATGTTTCCGACTGACCTTCAACTCAGTGCAGCCAAAGGCAACCTCAAACTAGTAGTCTTCCTACCTTTGGAGGGCTATGGTATGTGCCAACACACCTTAAGGTTTTTTTGACTATGTAATTCTACATTATATGGTTCTTAAAATCACTTAACAATAATTAAAATGGAATAATGAGCTAAGAGGGGAGATTAAGACAGTAATTTCCAAAAACTGTCTCAAACAACACATAAAAATAAAAAAAGAATGAGACCAGCTTGTACTACTATAGACTCTTGTCTCACAAAAATACAATAAGGGAGCTGGAGACTTGCTCCTCTTAAGGAGGACTTCATTCTGTTCCTAGCTCCTGCATGGTAGGTCACAACCATCTGTAACTCCAGTTCTGGAGATCCAAGTCCTTCTGGACTCTGCGAGTACCAGGGACTCATGTGGTATATACACATATATGCAAGCAAAACTTTCACCTATTCATACACATAAAGCAAACATAAGAAAACCCTACAAAGAAATAGAATGACACAATACCTTCCTTTATATTAATAAAACAATTATTTGGCATGGTTTACTTCAATAATTTATATAATAAAAAAAATTGCTCCATAAAAACATTCCAGTAACAGGGGAGGCTGTAAAAGTCTAGAAGGATAGTATTTGAGGTAAAGACAGTTAAACAGTGAATCACGAGGCTAGCCTCAGCTACATGAGACCATCACAAAACAACAAACCAAAAAAGAAAGAGGACAAAGGAATAGGAATCAATCATTAGGCATGATAGGCTCATTCCTGGAAATCTGGCATTTGGAAGGCTGAGACAAGACAGTGAATGTGGCAGCAAAGGCTATATAGCTAGATTCTGTTTCAAAATGTGTACATATGTGTGAACACAGGTTTGACGGGACATCCTATAGTCCCAGCTACCAAAGACACTGAAAGGCAGAAAGGTCATTCTATTACAGGAATTAAAAGCCAGCTTGGACAGCATAGTGAGACTCTATCTCAAAAACAACCAAAACAAAGCAGTAGGCAAATCTGAGTTTGAGGCCAGCCTGGTCTACAGAACCAGTTTCAGGGCAGGTAATAAAGCAACACAGAAAAACCGTGTCTCAAAAGACAAACAAACAAAAAACCCCAAACAAAGCCAAAATAAATACAACTAATGTTTGGGGACATACATCTTTAGCTACAATATTTGGGAGGTACGGGCAGGTAGATTTGTGACTTCCAGGACAACCAAGACTTTTCAGTGAAACTGCCCCCAAAATAAAAAAAATAATAATAAATTAAGCTGCAGGGTCTGGAAAACGGTGAAGATCACCAGCTGCTCTTCAGAGGATCACTCACATGGTACTTTACACCCCTCTAATGACAGTTTGAGGGAATCTGATGCCCTCTTCTGGCCTCTGAACAAACATGCAGGTAGCAAGCATACACACAATAATTAAAATTTTTAAAATTCTGCCAAAACACATGATTATAGATGCAACTCAGACATAAAACAAAACACTTTTAAGAATTAGTGGCAGAATCCCCCATTCCTGATGTAGCTCCATTAACATCACGATCACCAACAAAACCCAATCAATAATCTATGATTTTTCTGTTATTTATGATTTTGTTTTTTTGATTCTGTTGTTTTTGAGAGAGGTATCAAATTCACAATTCTCCTACTTCAATATTTTACCTATCTCTATGAATTTTCCAATACAACATATTTTAAGTAATCATGTAATATTTTGTTTCTAATTAGTTAAGAGATAGGGTCTTACTCAAAAGAGATCTACCTGTCCCTATTTTAAAGAACTGAGATCAAAGGGATGAACTACACAGTCAGCTATCTGTTTATGGGTTGTTACTTTTTGTTTAGTTTTGACAAGACAGGGTCTCTTTGTATAGCCCTGGAACTCACTCTGTAGACCAGGCTGGCCTCAAACTCACAGAGATATACCTGCCTCTGCCTCCAGAGTGTTCACATCAAGGGTGTGCACCACCACTGCCCAGTGGCAGACAGATCTCTGCATTCAAGGCCAAGCTTGTCTACTGAGCCAGGATAGTCAGGGCTACACAGAGAACACTGTCTCCAACAGTAAAAAACAGAACAAAACAAAAAACATCTAAGTTCTCCAATATGGTTCCTATCATAATCTCACTGAATAATTCCTAAAAGCAAAAATGATGAGTTCGAGGCCACCCTGGTCTACAAAGCAAGTTCCAGAACAGTGAGGACCGTTACATTGAGAAACCCTGTCTCAAAAAACAAACCCTGCCCCAAATAAAAACAAAATCCTTTCATGTACTCCTTGTAGAGTTTATCTTAAACATTCAGTCCATACACCAACGTTATAAGGAAGTTTTGAGACAGCTCCACCCCACACCTGACAGGCGATACTTACTTTTCTCTATCTGTTTTGTAGATCCGAGCAATCTCAGGCACTAAAGGATCATCTGGATTGGGATCACACAACAGAGAACAGATGGACAAAAGTACTAGGGCATTAAAAAAAAAAAAAGTATATGTTAGTAGAAGACCAAAGCAAAGGGCTTAAACATGAGAAGCTGGGCAGCACTCAGGCGGCAGGGATAGGTAAATAGATGGATCTCTGTGAGTTCAAGGCCGACCAAGGCTGTATAGTGAGACCCTGTTTCTAAGGAAAGAACAAACAATGCCCCCTCCCCCATCAACCTGAGATGCTACCAATGTTAAGAATAGAATTGGGAATGCAGGTAACTTAATGATGGAAAGCTTGCATAATGTGCATGAGATTCTGTTCTGAATTCAGTTATTAGCAGAACAAAAGCTCTTCTAAACCCTAGATTGAGAACACTTGTCAGTGCCAGTGAACTTCAATTTTTAAAAGCTCAAGTTTAGAGAAAATCAGCTGTCAAATTTCCAGCAACAGACAAAATTACTTGTCTGACATCACCCTCCAATACAAGGAAACTTCAAGGACAGCTCATGATAGAACAAATTGTCTCAAAAATGAAATAAATTTTAGCCAGGTACCAGTAGCTCAGACTTGTAATTCCCACACTAGAGAAACTAAGGCAGGCCTGGAGGGATGGCTCAGCCGTTAAAGGCTAGGCTCACAACCAAAAATATAAGAAACTAAGGCAGGCACATTGCCACAAGTGGAAACCAGTCTAGACTACAGAGTAAGACAGCAAAAATAACCAAACGGCACCAGTGAAATGGCTCAGCAGTAAAAAACTTGAACAGACTGCCAAGCTAAGTTTGATTCCTGGAACCCAAAAGCGGAAGGAGATAACGAACTCCAAGAGTTGGCCTTTGATCTATATGCAGTGCTTTTTGCAACCCACCCCACATACATTAATAATTAAATAAAGTCAAACAATCATATCATTCACCTTTCTCAGTGGTAGCTGGCTTATTTACACTTTTAAGGCAGTACTTCATTCTATATCAAGCTAGCCTAAAATTTGCTATGCAAGAATAATTTTGAATATCAATCATTCTGCACCCATTTCTCAAAAATATAGGATTACAGTGTATATACCACTATAACAGGCTTCTACCTATTCTTGAGTATCACAATCAACAAGTTGGCATTATACCAAGGATTATCTATTCTTGAAAAAAAATCAACCCCTTTCCATTGTATCAACAAATTCTACTACAGAGTAATGAAGATTGGCTCTTTCAAAAGAAACAGGAGTGGGGCTCAAGAGATGGCCCAGCAGTTAAGAGCACTGACTTCTCTTCTAGGGAAGCCAGGTTCAATTCCCAGCACCCACATGGCAGCTAACAACCATCTAACTCCAAGATCTGACACCCTCACACTGACATACATGCAGACAAATAAAATTTTGAGAGAGAGAGAGAGAATATGAAACAGAAGTTATAAAAAAAAAATAATAAACTGGGGCTGGAAAGACAGCTATGCAATTAGGACCACTAGCCACTCAGGACCCAGGTTCAATTCCCAGAACCCATATGATACTGTGGTACATGCTCACAACTCTAACTCCAATAACAGGTGATTCAATACTCTCTTCTGGCCTCTGGGGGAACCAGACACATACACAATACAAATACACCCATTAATGCAAAACACACATAAATTTGAAAAACATATAATTTTTAAAAAGATAAACCAATAAAAAATATAATCAATTATTTCACCTTGACATCAAATAACTATTCCATTACCTTTTGAAATAGTTAGTGCTGGAGACCACTGTGATCGTAGAATATCAAGACAAATGCTGCCATTACTGTTAATATTTGGATGATAAATTCTTGTTGTAAATGCAACCTAAAGAAAAATAAATCCTTGTGATTGATTTAGTATATTCATACAGAGCATATTAAAAGCAATTATCATATTCCAAATACCTTAGGTGGTTTGAAGGGGTAATCTGTTGGAAAATGAATTGTCAAGAAAAACACTCCACCCTGATAGGGGCTGTCATTCTGTTGATGATAAGAAAATGAGATTTAAAATGAATAAATTACATAAAGTAAGTATTAAGGAATTAAAGTGAATACTTACTGGCCCCATTATTGTAGCTTGCCAATGAAACACTGAAAAAGAACAAGAAAAAGAAAACTATCATGTTAAAGATATTCACATCAAACCTATCACGCCTACCTAATCAAAGTTCATTTATGCCAGGCAGTTGTGGCTCACAACTTTAATCCCAGCACACAGAGGCAGAGGTGGGTGGCAAAATGGTCTACAGAGCAAGTTCCAGGACAGCCAGGGCCACACAGAGGAACCCTGTCTCATGGGGGGTTGGGGAGGGGTAGGGGGTGGTGGGGGTGAGAGACTACAACAAAGTTCATTTATAAACAGTATGATAATGACTCACCCCACCACAGGGTTTCTCTAACAGCTTTAGCTGTCCTCAAACTCACAGAGATCCATCTGCCTCTGCTACCCGAGTACTGGGTTTAGAGGAATGTACCACCACTGCCTGGCAATAATGACTATTTTCTTTTTACAATTTACTTAATTTTATTTTATGGATATGGTGTGAGGGTTTCAAATCCCCTGAAACTGGAGTTATAGACAGTTGTGAGCTGCCATGTGGGTACTGGGAATTGAACCCAGGTCCTCTGGAAGAGCGGCCAGTGTTCTTAATGCTGAGTCATCTCTCCAGTCCAATGACTATTTTCTATGGGCAGGATGAAGACTAAACCAGTTATGATCTCAAACCACTGAAAAATACACACACACACACACACACACACACACACACACACACACACACAAGTAAATAAAAACAGACAGATGAGCAGGGTGCCTTTAATCCCAGCACTCAGGAGGCAGAGAGGCAGGCAGATCTCTGGCTTAGGATCCAGCCTGAGATCCAAGACAACCAGGGCTGTTATAGAAAAAGTCTTGAAAAACCAAATGAACCAAATACATACACTAAAACAAAACAAAAACGGACAGCCAATTTAAAAATAGGTGGAGAGGCTAGAGAGATGGTTTGGCAGTTAACCATATACACTACTTTTGCAGACCGGAGTTTGGCTCCCAGCACCTTAATCAGGTGGCTGCGCCAGAGGACCCGTTAACCTCTTTTGGTCTCTGAACACTTACACTTGTGTACATACATACCAAGCTCACATACACCACCACAATCGAAAACACAATAAAATCACCAACAACACAAAAGAACCCACACATTTTTCTTGAAGCCAGCAAGATGCTCAGCAGGAGCTATCAAGCCTGACATGATTCCCAGGACTCCCAAGCTGTTAGCTGTCCTCCACATATTTCATCATAGGATGTGCACACACATTGGAACTAAGCACGGTAGTATAGTATACCTACAATACTGGCAAAGCTGAGCCATGATGCTAAATCTAAGTTTATCTTTGGCTAAGTGAAGGGTTTGAGGCCACCCTGGTGAGTTCCAGGTGAGCCAAAGCTACATGGTGATTCTATCACTAAAACCAAACAACTAACTTACCAACAAACAAAACCTGTTTCAAAGTCATACCTGGAAAATAAATTTGTTTACAAAGTCCAAAGAAAAGTTCTAACTGCTATTTCAAAAAATGATTCATTGAGGGCTGGAGAGATGGCTCAGAGGTTAAGAGCATTGCCTGCTCTTCCAAAGTTCCTGAGTTCAATTCCCAGCAACCACATGGTGGCTCACAACCATCTGTAATGAGGTCTGGTGCCCTCTTCTGGCCTGCAGGTATACACACAGATAGAATATTGTATATATAATAAATAAATATTTTAAAAAAAATGATTCATTGAATAGTGGAGACACATGCCTTTAACTTTAGTTCCAGCACTTGGGATGCAGAGGCAGAAGGATCTCTAAGAATCCAAATCCAAGGCCAGCCTCATCTACAAAGTGAGTTCCAGGACAGCTAGGGCTTTTACACAGAAAAACCATATATTGAAAAATTAATACACACACACATACACACACACACACACACACACACGTCTTTTTTTCTTCCCCACTCTGAAACAGGTTTTCTTTGTCCTGGCTATCCTAGAACTGCTCTGTAGGTCAGGCTGGCCTCTAACTCACAGAGATCTACATGCCCCGCCCCCTTAGTGCTGCGATTAAAGGAGTACACGACAACCACCACTTGGCTACTTCCAAGACTTAACCATTCTTCAATATAATTGCATAAAATATACTTAAAAAATAATGCTGGCGTCTTCCTTTCCGATCCGCCATCTGTGGTGGCAGTGCCGCCAGGATGCAGATTTTCGTGAAGATCCTTACAGGGAAAACCATCACGCTCGAGGTTGAACCCTCGACTATAGACACTATAGAAAATGTCAAGGCCAAAATCCAGGATAAGGAAGGAATTCCTCCTGATCAGCAGAGGCTGATCTTCGCTGGCAAGCAGCTGGAAGATGGCCGTACTTTGTCTGACTACAACATCCAAAAGGAGTCCACCCTTATCTGGTGTTGAGACTTCGTGGTGGTGCTAAGAAAAGGAAGAAGTCTTACACCACCCCCAAGAAGAACAAGCATAAGAGGAAGAAGGTGAAGCTGGCTGTACTCAAGTACTATAAGGTGGATGAAAATGGCAAAATTAGCCATCTTCATCGGGAGTGTCCTTCTGATGAATGTGGTGCTGGAGTTTCCATGGCCAGCCACTTTGAGAGACATTATTGTGGCAAGTGCTGTCTGACTTACTGCTTCAACAAGCCGGAAGACAAGTAGTTGTGTATGAATAAATAAAAAAGACAGGAATTGGAAAAAAAATAATGCTGGCATATTACAGAAAGGGTTTAAATACTCAAATTAGGAAAAACTATTTTCAAGTGTGCATGTGGTGAATGTGTCCACATGCATGTGCTTGTGAGAGTGTTACCTGTGTGTGTGGAGATCAGAAGTTGACTTTAGATATATTCTTTACCTTACTTTTATTCTAGACAGTTTTTTCACTGAACTTGAAGCTGGCCTTTTCAGCTACAAGGGTTGGTCACTGAGTCCCAACCCACTTGTTTCCACATTTTCATATTCCAGCACTGGTTACAGGTACACTGCTACACATCCAGCTCTTTCTATCGATGTTAGGTATATTAAACTATGCTTGCATTCTGTACAGCATACACTTTACCCACTGCACCATCGTCTCAGCTCAGAAAGATTGATGTCTTTTTTTATTTTTCCTTTTGTTTTCAGTGGGGAGTAGAGGAAACCCTGAATGAGTGAACTTTTGAGTAGAATGTGTTTTGTTGGCGTGCACACAACCACATCAAGAAACCCAAAGCTTCAGACCCATGGGAAAATGGCGAAGCCTTCCCCTCTGGATGAGGCTCAGAGAATTGGCAAAACTGTTTTCTGATCAGTGTGCAGATTATAGTGTGAACAGAAAATGCCCACTGTAACTTTCTCTCCTGGATGATTACAGCTCAAAGACACTCCCCTACAACTATTTCTCCTATAGAGATTAGCTAACCTTGCTTCAGTGTTTGGTAGTACAGCATAAATTTTGCCTCCTTGCTTATCTGTCTGTAACAGCCTGCCTTCTTCTTCAGCTGTATGTAATAACCCCATTTTCCATTTTATACAATGAACACACTGAGCTTCTGGAGTACTGTGGTTTCTGCATCAGAAAGTTCAGTGCACCTAATCTTTCTTTCTGTTTCCATATGTTTGTATTTTCTTCATTTAACACCCCAGTCGGGTACAATTCCTGAAGCCCTACAAATACGTGGCAATGGGTGTTTTGTCTGAATGTATGTGTGTGCACCACATGTATGCAATGCCCAGGAGGCCAGGAAAGGACCCAGGATTCTCTGGACCTGAAGTTACAGACAGCTGTGAGCCACTAAGAGGGTGATGGGAACTGAATTTCAGGAAGAGCAACCATTACTCTTAACTGAGGGAATTATCTCTTCAGCTCCAAATATTTTTACATTTTCAGACAGGGTCTTATGCATGCGAGGCTGGCTGGAAACAGCAGAGGATGACCTTTCCACCTCTATGATGGCATGTGACACCACGACCAGTGTATGTAGTCCTGAGGTTCAAACCTAAGGCCCTGTGCATATTACTTAAGTATTTTACCAACTGGGCTACATTCCCAGCCACAACAACAACAACAAAATTAGGTCATGCATTGTAGCACTTACCTTTAATCTTAGTACTAAAGAGGAAGGGGCAGGAGGATCTTTTTGACTTTTGTTAAAAAAAAACTTTTGATACAAACAACTAATGCCAGGCCAGTCAGAGCTACACAGTTAAGACCCTGCCTCAATTAAAAAAAAAAAAATTAACAGGGGCTGGAGAGATGGCTCAGTGGTTAAGAGCTCTGGTACTCTTCCAGAACCAGGGTTCAAATGCCAGCACCCACACAGCAGCTAACAACTGTCTGTAATTCCAAGATCTAACACCCTCACAAACAAAGACATACATGGTAAAACGCCAATTCACCTAAAATAAGAATAAATAAATAAATTAAAAAATTTAAACAAAAAAAACAATACCAATAAAGCTTAAATCACTATCAGGTAGTATAATAATCAAATAAACAACTATATCTGTTTTAAGTTGTACCCTTCTACATAATCCTCTTATGTAATTTAAATCTGTCTATCGTGGTCCAGGTCAAATTCCAAGAATCAGAAAATAAAGCATTTAAATAAGAATTTCAAAACACCGAGGTTTCAAGCATAAAAATTTCCAGCAGCTAAGTATTAATTCTTTGTTGCTAGCCTTCTGAGAGCAATCCTTTATTCTTGCTAAAAATCATACCAGATTTAAGAAGAAATTAAGAGGCTGGTGCTGTGGCTTTAATGGTAGAGTACTAGTCTGGCAGGTGCGAGGTTATAGGCTCAATCCCTAGTCCTGCTACACATTGGAAGAAGGGAGAAAAGGAAACAGTTCTGATGGCTCAGCAGGTGGAGAGGCTCAAGCAGAAAGATTACTCAAGAATTCAGGCTCAACCTGAGCTACCAGAGGGAAAAAAGTCTCAAGACAAAAACATGGCCAGCAAGATAGTTCAGCGGGTGAAAACACCCGTCACCAGGGCTGAAAATCTAAGTTTGATACCCGGGACACACAAGGTGCAAGGAAAAAAGAACCAATTCC